CTAGACACTCGGCTCCTCTTGATGCAGGCCAACATCCCACTGGCTTTTTTTGCCAGCACATCACATTCCTGGCTCATGTTTAACTTCCTCCCCACGAGGACTCCAAGATCTTTTTCACACGTACTGCTCTCGAGCCAGGCCTCATCGTCCCCCATTCTGTATCTTTGCATTTCATTTTTTCTGCCAAAGTGGAGTATCTTGCATTTGTCACTATTGAACTTCATTTTGTTAGTTTTGGCCCATCTCTCTAATCTGTCAAGACCATTTTGAATTCTGCTCCTGTCCTCTGGACTGTTGGCTATCCCTCCCAATTTGGTGTCGTCTGCAAACAGATTTGGAAAAACAGGAGTGAGTCGCAGTTTTTGCAAAGGTCAAATAGATTACGGGAAAGGGAGACTCAGGCTTCAAAGTCTGGAGGCGTGTCAAGAAACAGTTTCTTTAGTTTAAGGGGCCTCTTCCCAGGTTGTCTTGTTAGATCAAGCATTGTTTAGACTGAGGCATCACCTTGGCAGATTTCCTGCGTTCCATGGCCCGCATTCCCAGAGGCTTCTAGTTTTCAAGTACAGTTAGATGCTAACAGGTTCCTGGTTTTTGTATTGTTGCTTTTGGAATTTTGCTCTAGTTCAGAGATTTTCCTGACTGCTGAGTTTTTACTGTGGCTTTTTGACTTTGCATTTACCTTTCTTTTGTAACCATTTTCATCAATAAAAAGGATTGTTTTTTTCCCACAGACCAGTGTGGTGGATTTAATCTCATGGTCTTGTTTCCTGATCTGGGATGCAACAACGCTGCTGATAGTGAAACTACTGAGAGCCACGTGCATTCTGATTCAGGAAGGGAGGACAGTTCTCAGCTAGATAATGAGCAAGAAAGCACTATCAAACAGATTGACCTTGATGAGGCCGGAGCTTTAGATCGAGCTGATTGCCTGGAATTTAAGGTTCGAAGGAGTGTGAGAATTTCTAACAAGAGAGAGAGAGGGAGGCCAAGGGCCAGAGGAATGCCTTCATGTTTTCCAAAGGGTGTTAAACAGGCTGTTTGAAAACACCCCAGTGTCAGAGCAATTTCTTGCTTCAGTCAAGAGGCTTGGGATTTATCTTGTAGTTTTCATGTTCATGGTTTCGGGACTTTGTCATGTTCTCATGGGACTTTGCCTTGCTGGTTTCTCCGTGGATCCTGTTTTCAAGTGTTATCTTCTATTGATCTTTGGAACTATACTTTTGCTTTTATGAACTTTTTTATCTTTTACTTTAATAAACCATAAAGACTATTGCCTGTGTGCTGTTTGGTGTCTTACGCAAGGTGATTCTACTCTGAGGTGTGACAGGCAGTCAAAATTAGATATTTCCCAATTTTAGACACAGGCTGAAAGCCTTTTACCTATGTTTTTAGACAACTTGTGTTTTAACCAGTTTTTAATTGTGGTTAATTTGACCCATCTGTGTGCCCAAGCGACAGGTTGTTCTTCACCTTATTGCCTGCGTACCTGAAGGCTGAAACACGTTGGCACTTCTTGTAGCTTTTTACCCTTGTTTTTAGCCGACATGTATTTTAAGCAGCTTTTATTGTGTCCAAATTTTATCCACTGGATGCTCTTAATCTCATTACCTGTATAACTTGTATGATACAGTGTAATAAGGGTCCCTGGACCATAATAAAATTTACCTAATGACTGACAAAAAAAAAAAAAAAAATACAAGAAAACAACCCTAAATTTTTGGACCTGAAAAAAATGTGTATTTGCAAGACAATCAAAGACAAAATAACTTTATTATTATTATCAGAAGGATGAAAGGGAAAAAGAGGATTTAAAAACTGAAATATTAAGATGGCTTCAAGGTGTCTCCCCAAAGATGAACTGGATTGGAACAGAGCATGTCCACCACCTTTCAGAGGGAAGAATCATAGAATCCTCGAGTAGGAAGAGACCTGGTGGGCCATCCAGTCTGACCCCATTCTGCCAAGAAGCAGGACAATCCCATTCAAAGCATCCTCAGCAGAGGGCCATCCAACCTCTGTTTAAAGGCCTCCACGCTTTTGGATCATGTGATTTTAATGTTTATATTCATGTTTTTAATATGTTTAAATGTAGTTACATTTTATGATTTAATTGATAGGTTTTATGCTTCAGTTGTTTTATGTTCAGTTTTTATGTTTTGTAAGGGCTTAGATATGCTGGAACTGCTTTGAGTCCCCCCAGGGGTGAGAAAAGAGGCATATAATGAAATAAATAAGGAGCCTCCACCACACCCCGGGGCAGAGAGTTCCACTGCTGAACAGCTCTCAGTCAGGAAGTTCTTCCTAATGTTCAGGTGGAATCTCCTTCCTTCCATGTAGTTTGAAGCCATTGTTCCATTGCGTCCTAGTCTCCAGGACAGCAGAATTCAAGCTTGCTCCCTGTGACTTCCCTTCACATATTTATACATGACCACCATGTCTCCTCTCAGGAATGGCTTCAAACTACAGGAAAGGAGATTTCATCTGAACATTAGGAAGAACTTCCTGACTGATAACTGTTCAGCAGTGGAACTCTCTTCCCCAGGGGGAGTGTGGTGGAGGTTCCTTCTTTAGAGCCTTTTAAACAGAGGCTGGATGGCCATCTGTTGGGGGTGCTTTGAACGCAATTGTCCTGCTTCTTGGCAGAATGGGGTTGGGCTGGATGGCCCAGGAGGTCTCTTCCAACTCTAGGATTGTATGATTCCATGTCTTCTCTCAGCCTTTGCTTCTTCAGGGTAAACATGCTCTCCACCACACTTCCGGGCAGAGAGTTCCACTGTTGAACAACTCAGAGTCAGGAAGTTCAGGTGGAATGCCAGCGGTGACATCACTTCCTCTGAGGACGGACAATAGGGGAAGGGGGCGGGGCCTGGAGGTCTCCCTTCCTCCCTTCCTTCGAACCTTGTCATCCCTCAATGCTGCAAGTCGTCTCTGGTTGCTTCTGGATCGAGAGAATCGGCCGTCTACGAAGACGTTGTGCAGGGGACGCCCGGGTGTCTTGTAATCCTGCGAGGAGGCTTCTCTCATGTCCCCCGAGCTCTGAGGATGACCTGGGAAGGGATCCCACGGGAGCATTGCAACACACCCAAATACCTGGGAGTCACTTTGGACCGTGCTCTGACCTACAAGAAGCACTGCCTGAACATCAAGCAAAAAGTGGGCGCTAGAAACAACATCATACGAAAGCTGACTGGCACAACCTGGGGATCACAACCAGCTACAGTGAAGACATCTGCCCTTGCGCTATGCTACTCTGCTGCTGAGTATGCATGCCCAGTGTGGAACACATCTCACCACACTAAAACAGTGGATGTGGCTCTTAATGAGACATGCCGCATTATCACAGGGTGTCTGCGCCCTACACCACTGGAGAAATTACACTGCTTAGCCGGTATTGCACCACCTGACATCCGCCGGGAAATTGCAGCCAATAGTGAAAGGACCAAGGCAGAGACATCTCCAGCTCATCCCTTGTTTGGGTATCAGCCAGCACGTCAACGACTTAAATCAAGAAATAGTTTTCTTAGATCTACAGAGACACTCGCTGGAACACCTCAGCAAGCGAGAGTCCAAAGTGGCAGGCTCAAACCCAGCACCTCAATCCGTGGGTGATACCAGATGAGAGACTCCCCCCTGGGCACACAGAAGACTGGGCGACTTGGAAGGCGCTGAACAGACTGCGCTCTGGCACCACGAGATGCAGAGCCAACCTTCAGAAATGGGGCCACAAAGTGGAATCCACGACATGCGAGTGTGGAGAAGAGCAAACCACTGACCACCTGCTGCAATGCACCCTGAGCCCTGCCACATGATGCACCAGGGAGGACCTTCTTGCGGCAACACTGCCCTGGAATGTGGTGGAGGCTCCTTCTTTGGAAGCTTTTAAACAGAGGCTGGCTGGCCATCTGTCAGGGGTGCTTTGAATGCAATATTCCTGCTTCTTGGCAGAATGGGGTTGGACTGGATGATGGCCCAGGAGGTCTCTTCCCACTCTAGGATTCTATGAGGCTGGATGGCCATCTGTCAGGGGTGCTTTGAATGCAATATTCCTGCTTCTTGGCAGAATGGGGTTGGACTGGATGATGGCCCAGGAGGTCTCTTCCAACTCTAGGATTCTATGATTCTAACCCCAGAGGCACTCCAAGGGAACAGATACTGGTCAAAGGACATTTAACCAACTACCAAATTTGCAAAATCTGTGTTTTTTTCTTTCTTTTTCTTTTCAATCTCTGTGTTTGTTTTGTTCTGTTAGAATTGTAACACAATAGTCTGGTTGCTGATGACACGATAAATAAATAAACAAATCCCTCCATGAAAGCCTGAGCGCAGCAGGCAGCCAATGAGGGCCTCCGGTGGGCGGAGCTTGGCGGGCTCGGCCAATGGGAGGGCGGCGGAGGAGGAGGAGGAGGCGGGCTTCTTCTCGGCCGGGTTTCAGCCGAGCGTCGCCCTCCGCCATTTTGTTTCTTCGTGAGGGGAGAGGGAGGCCGAACCCCTCCTTGCCATCCGTCCATCAAAGCCTGAGATCAGGAGGCAGCCAATGAGGGCCTCCGGAGGGCGGGGCTTGGCGGGCTCGGCCAATGGGAGGGCGGCGGAGGAGGAGGAGGAGGCGGGCTTCTTCTCGGCCGGGTTTCAGCCGAGCGTCGCCCTCCGCCATTTTGTTTCTTCGTGAGGGGAGAGGGAGGCCGAACCCCTCCTTGCCATCCGTCCATCAAAGCCTGAGATCAGGAGGCAGCCAATGAGGGCCTCCGGAGGGCGGGGCTTGGAGGGCTCGGCCAATGGGAGGGAGGAGGAGGAGGAGGCGGGCTTCTTCTCGGCCGGGTTTCAGCCGAGCGTCGCCCTCCGCCATTTTGTTTCTTCGTGAGGGGAGAGGGAGGCCGAACCCCTCCTTGCCATCCGTCCATCAAAGCCTGAGATCAGGAGGCAGCCAATGAGGGCCTCCGGAGGGCGGGGCTTGGCGGGCTCGGCCAATGGGAGGGCGGAGGAGGAGGAGGAGGAGGCGGGCTTCTTCTCGGCCGGGTTTCAGCCGAGCGTCGCCCTCCGCCATTTTGTGTCTTCGTGAGGCGAGAAGGAGGCGGCGGAGTGAGGGCTTCCTCTGAAGGAGGAAAGAGCGAGAAAGAGAGGCGCGGTGGGATTATTAGGTACAAAAAGGTCACTGCTGCTTTCTGTCTTGGGTTTTGGATCCGTTTTCTTCTGAGGCCGGCCTCCCTCAGAGCAGGAACAGAGGCCTCCCCGGCCACAGAGGACAGGCCGGGCCTCCTCCTCCTCGCCCCTCTCTCCCTCCCTTTCTCGATTATGACGCCTGTTGTACCTCTCATCCAGGCTTCCTCAGACTGCGGCCCTCCTGCTGTTTGGGCCTCCAACTCCCAGAAGGCCCAATGAACGAGCTTGTTCCATTGTCTGGGAGCTGAAGGCCCAAACAGCTGGAGGATTCCACCGTTTGAGGATTCCTGATAATCTGTGCGTGTGTATGCACCAACTGCCGCTCTGGGCCTGCATATGCCATCAGCTGGAGACCCCTCCCCCCAGCACCAATGCCGCTCTGGGCCAGAGCGAAGAGAGGGGAGGCCGGGGGACAGTTCCACCTTATCTCCTATGCTATTCTAATACTATAATCAGGCATGTAGCCGGGGGGGGGGGGGGCTTGGGGGGCTTCAGCCCCCCCCCCCCCAAATTCTCATGGTGGTTCGCGAAAAGGCCTTACTGGTGCATTATTTAAACTGTTATGTTTATTCATATCATGATCTGATCACCATACTCAATATATCCCATATGCATGGGGGTATTGGGGTTACGATACAAAAGGTTTGCTAGGGTAGACCCTCTTTCGCTCACTCAGCCCCCCCCCCCCCAAAAAAAAACTCAGCCCCCCCCCCCGAAACGAAATCCTGGCTACGGGTCTGACTATAATATAATATATATTGTATAAACATATAATATTTATAATATTATAATGTAATGCAATATAATACTAATAATAACCTTTTCTGTGGTGGCCCCCCGGCTGTGGAACGCCCTTCCTATGGAGGTAAGATCAGCCCCCTCGCTAATGGTGTTCCGAAGAAGATTAAAAACTTGGATGTTTGAACGGGCATTCGGTTAAACAGTGCAATGAATGTGATGATTACAGGAATGGAAATTTGGACGACGGATTGATCACGACTCTAATTATGAGATGCATTGTGTTGTCTATTGTTGTGTCAATATTGTATATTATGCTTTTATGGTTTTAAATTGTATATCGTTGATTGATTCTTATCCTTGTTGTAAACCGCGTTGAGTCTCCTGTTGGGCAGAGAAACTGCGGTATACAAGTAAAGTAAATAAAATAAAATAAAATAAATAATAATAATTTGATATTATAATATTATAATTATATATTTATATTACATGTAATATTACTAATAATATTACAATATAATTGGTATAGTATAATATAGCAATATTTAAAACTGATATTGTACTATGCTAATAATATAATATGTTGTATGTATATATACCTTGTAAGCCGCTCTGAGTCCCCTTCGGGGTGAGAAGGGCGGCATATAAATGTCGTAAATAAATAAATAATACCTCTGTGTGTGTGTGTGTGTGTGTGTGTATATAAGGCAAGGGCAAACTTTTCCACCAACACACACGACACAATCACCGTTAGGGACCCCAGAGGCCATCCAGCCCAGCCCCCTTTCTTCTGCCCTGCTGTATTGTCTTGATGTTTTGAATGCTGATTAATTGATATTACTGTTTTAAATGACTAATGATTTTTGTACCATGTTGTTGATACTGGTTGTTAACCGCTCTGAGTTGCCTGATGGCTGAGAGGAGCAGTATACAAGTGAAGTAAATAATAATAATAATAATAACAACAACAGTATTTCAGTGGAAGGCCCCAACAGACACCCAGTCCAGCTGCCTTTATTCTGCCATACTAATAGGATACTAATAGTAATACTAATATTATAATACTAATAGGAGCAAGCCCAGGGGCCACCCAGCTCAGCCTCCCTGTATTCTGCCCTGCAGGGAAGGCACAATCAAAGCACCCCCAACAGATGACCATTCAGCCTTTGCAATAATAGTAATACTAATAGGAGCAAGCCCAGGAGGCACCCAGTCCAGCCCTCTTTATTCTGCCCTGCAGGGGAAGCACAATCAAAGCACCCCCAACAGATGGCCATTCAACCTTTGCACTATTTATTTATTTATTATTTACTTTATTTGTATATCGCTCTTTTCAGCCCTTAGGCAACTCAGAGCGGTTTACAACAATTTCGGTCTACACAATACAAAATCATTAGGCATTTAAAAGCAATAGCATCACAAATCATTAAACATCAGCATCCATACATCACTACATCAATATAACAGATCCATCAGGTCTCATCGATGAAATCAGAATCCAAACTCGTTATCCATTATTCCATGTTCTGATAGTCAGTCAATCAATCACACTGCTTAGTCCAATGCCTGTTCAAACAGCCAGGTCTTTACTCTCCTCCGGAATGCCAGCAAGGAGGGTCGATCTAATATCTGCAGGAAGGGCGTTCCACAGCCGGGGGGCCACCACTGAGAAGACCCTGTCTCTGGTCCCCGCCAGGCGTGCTTGTGAAGCCGGCGGGATTGAGAGCAGGGCCTCCCCAGACGATCTTAATGTCCTAACTGGTTCATAGGAGGAGATGCGTTCGGACAGGTAGGTCGGACCAGAACCGTTTAGGGCTTTAAAGGCTAAAGCCAGCACTTTGAGTTGTGCCCGGTAGCAGATTGGCAGCCAGTGGAGCTGGCGCAGTAGAGGAGTGCCGCTCCTGTTAGCATCCTGGCTGCCGATCGTTGGACCATTTGAAGCTTCCGAGCAGTCTTCAGAAGCAACCCCACGTAGAGAGCTAATAGTCATACTAACAGGAGCAATCCCAGGGGGCATCTAGCCCAGCCCCCTATATTCTGCCATGCAGGGGAAGGACAATCAAAGCACCACTAACAGATGGCCATTCAACCTTTGTAAAAAAAAGGAATGCTAATAGAAGCAATCCCAGGGACCATCCAGTCCAGCCCCCTTTATTCTGCCATACCGGAGAAGCACAATCAAAGCACCCCCAGCAGATTGCCATTCAACCTTTGCAATACTAGTAATTATTATTATTAGTAGTAGGATTTATTAATCCCCCCCCCCCACCACCATCTCCCCAAGGGGACTCGAGGCGGCTTACATGAGGCCAAGCCCAACAAATACATCAATAAAACAACAAAGCAAATAAGCGACTAAAACACAATATTATAAATAACATATAAGCAATAACACAAAAAAGAATTGTAAAACGCTGTGGGCAGGGCCAGATGTATTCTATTAAAAACTTAACACTGTGCGTGAACAGAAGTAGGGTATGTCTCAACAGGGATAATGGGAAATCAATCCAATGGGTAGATAAAGTGCTTCAGAGGATAGAGCAGAAAATTAACCAGATCATGACACTAATTCCTTTATTCAGGGAAGGCACACTGGAACAGGCACGTTTTCAAGCTCCTCTAAAGACTGCCAATGTGGGGGCTTGTCTGATACCCCTGGGGAGTGAGTTCCAGAGTTGGGGGGGGCACCACAGAGAAGGCCCTCCCCCTCATCCCCACCAGTTGCGCCTGCGAAGGGGGCGGGAGCGAGAGCAGGACCTCTCAGGATGATCAAAGGGATCACGTAGGTTTGTAAACAGAAATACTAATTGGAGCAATCCCAGGGGGCATCCAGTCCAGCTCCCTTTATTCTGCCATGCAGGGATAAGCACAATCAAAGAACCCCTAACAGATGGCCTTTCAACCTTTGCAATAATAGTAATACCAATGGGAGCAAGCCCAGGGCAATCCAGTACACTCCCCTTTGTTGTGCCATGCAAGGAAAGCACGATCAAAGCACCCCAACTGATGGCTATTCAGCCTTTGCACTGATAGTAATGCTAATAGGAGCAGCCCCAGGGGCCACCCAGTCCAACCCCCTTTATTCTGCCGTGCAGGGGAAACACAAGTCATACCACCCCAATAGATGGCCATTCAGCCTTTGCAATAATAGTCATACTAATAGGAGAAATCCCAAGGGCCACCCTGTCCACAGATGCAGAAACCCCATTCTCCTAGTTTCCACCAACCTCACAACCTCTGAGGATGCTTGCCACAGATGCAGGCGAAACATCAGGAGAGAATGCTTCTAGAACATGGCCATACAGCCCGGAAAACCTACAACAACCCAGTGATTCTGACCGTGAAAACTAACGAGAATAAATAGTAATACTAATAGGAGCAAGCCCAGAGGCCATCCACTCCAATCCCCTTTATTCTGCCTTGCAGGGAAAGCAATCCCAATCTTTGTAATTATTATTGTAATTATTATAGGTGCAACCACAGGGGCCATTCAGACAATGAAGGAAAAGCAACCAAAGCTTCAACAATAGATGCCCACCCAGCCTTTGTGATGATAATAATAATAATAATAATAATAATAATAATAATAATAGGAGCAACCCCAGGGGCCCTCCAGTCCAACTCTCTTCTGCCATGCTTATACACCAAATCAAGCCCTTCTTTTATTGTTTTTAACCTCTTTAGAAGGCCTGAGCTCATTCACCACTTTTCTAACTTCATCTCTGCATATGCTGTCTCTTTCTTTTAATTCCTACTTAGCCATTAAATGCGAATCAAGGTGGCCAAACATTCACACCCAGCTCCAACAGACAAAAGGTCTTTCTCCCGCACTGGACATTCTACAGATATATCAACCCCATTTTCCCAGTTTCCAGCAGACCTCACAACCTCTGAGGATGCCTGCCACAGGTGCAGGCGAAACGTCAGGAGAGAATGTTTCTGGGACATGGCCATACAGTCCAGGAAACACAACAACCCAATAATAATAATATTAACTAGGCTTGGTTGATCAAGAAATAAAATGGTTCTAAACCCGTTTTGTATGTAGGGGGCGCTGGAGGTTTGATTTTTAAATTATTTCCAAAATTTTCTTTTAAAAAAGATCGAAATTACCAGGATATACAAATCGTTTCCTTTGTTTCGTTAATGGAAGGTGCCCTTCCCTCCCTCCAGAACCATTAAAATCTCGCAGTTTCTCTTCCTTCCCTTGCGGCAGAAGGAAGAGGTGGGCGTGGCCAAGCAAGGTCCATGGAGGTCTCGCCCCCAGCGAGCAAAGCACAGCGATCCTCCATATGTAATTTGCACAAACTGGTTATTATGGAATTATGGCTGTGCAAATGTACATTGGTGTTAATGGCAGCCGTTGGAAATGACAGTTAATTGAGCAGAAGGTATTATCGATTTGAAATGGCATGCGGCATGGATATATAATGACGCACTTAGGGCTGCTAATTTGCGCTCAGATTCACGGAAAAATATGAACGCTCTTCAGAGATAGGTTGGCATGTTCCTGGTACCATATAGGAGGCTCCCTGATCCTGGCCCTGCATTTCAGTGGAGGAATCTCAGTGCAAGTGGCGCTTGCCAGGGAAGAGAAAGAAAGGTGAGAGATTTAAAAAGTGTTGGTTTTTAAATCTCTCGCCTTTCTTTCTCCTCCCTGGCAAGCTGTCCAAGGGAGAGGTGGGCGTGGCCAAGGACAGAGCTCCTCGGAGGCCTCGCCCCCAGCCACATCCGAGCAAGGAGGGCTGTGCTTGGCCACGCCCACCTCCATCCTCTTTGCATCGACAGCTTTGCGAGGTAGGTGTGGCTACGCCAAGCTCTTCCGCATCGCCGCTTGTCGCCAGGGAGGTAGTCAACCCATCTCGCAAAGCCACCGATGCAAAGAGGAAGGAGGTGGGCGTGGGTAAGAACTGCTGTTCCTAAAGACAACGCCCCCAGCATTTACGATTCACTGGTGGAAGTCGTAAGGAAGATGGGGGCGCGGCTTCGATATGGCAAAAGCACTTCCGGGTTGCTCCCTGAACGGTTTGGGACCATCCTACCTGCGTGACCGCATCTCCGTCTACGAACCCACGCGTTCACTTCGGTCATCTGGAGAGGCCCTGCTCGTGATCCCACCTGCGTTGCAAGTGCGTTTGGTGGGGACATGAGACAGGGCCTTTTCTGTGGTGGCCCCCCGACTCTGGAACACCCTCCCCAAAGATCTTAGACAGGCCCCTACGTTGGCAGTCTTTAGGAAGAACTTGAAGACCTGACTGTTCCGATGTGCCTTCCCAGAATAGGAAATTTCCAATACCAAGTCCCAGAAGCACTTTATTAAAACTAAGATTGCCGCACACTGCACTTGCCCTATAAGCCTTATATTCCACCTGTCACATCAGCACTTTTAATCCTGTACCCATTACTCTGGCCAGGCCCAGTTTCATTGTGTCTTAGTGTATTGTTTATTGCTTTAATTGTTAGTGTATTAGTGTATTGTATATTGCTTTAATTGTTTTTAATTTTCCTTGGGTTTTGTATTGCTATGTTGTGTGTTGAGGCCTTGGCCTTTGTAAGCCGCATCGAGTCCTTCGGGAGATGCTAGCGGGGTACAAATAAAGTTTAATAATAATAATAATAATAATAATAATAATAAGTTGCCAAAACGCGTCGATATCGCTTCTAAAGGTATTAAAATAACGAATGAATAACGAATTCAGAAATTAACTGGATCAACCAAGTGTAATATTAACAAATAAAGTTATAATAATAATAATAATAATAATAATAATAATAATAATAATAATAATATGATGATGATGATGAAGATGAAGATTTAAAGATTGAACTGCAGAGACTCTGGCACAAACCAGTAAAGGTGGTCCCAGTGGTGATCGACACACTGGGTGCAGTGCCTAAAGACCTTGGCCTGCACTTAAACACAGTAGGCGTTGACAAGATTACCACCTGCCAGCTGCAAAAGGCCACCTTACTGGGATCTGCATGCATTATTCGCCGATCCATCACATAGTCCTGGACACTTGGGAAGTGTCCAACGTGTGATCCAATTCAACAGCCAGCAGAGTGTCTGCTGTGGACTCATCTTGTTGTGTTTCTAATAATAATAATAATAATAATAATAATAATAATAATAATAATAATAATAGGAGCAACCCCCGGGGCCATCCAGTGCAACTCTCTTCTGCCATGCATATAACTAAATCAAGCCCTTCTTGTGTTAGGTTCTTGTGGGTTTTTTCGGGCTATAGAGCCATGTTCTAGAGGCATTTCTCCTGACGTTTCGCCTGCATCTATGGCAAGCATCCTCAGAGGTTGTGAGGTCCGCTGCTGTTGCCACCTCGATGAAGCTCTTCTTCTTTCCCTTCTTGTGTTGTTTTTAAGCTCTTTAGCAAACCTGAGCTCTTTCTACACTTTGGCTTTTCATCCCTGTGTGGCTATTCCTTTTAATTCCTTTTTGGTGATTTCTCCCTGTTTCCATTTCTTGTTCATTTCCCTTTTAAATCTTAGTTCAATTGAAAGTTCCTTACACATCCACCCATTCCGGTTTCATTAGACACCTCCTACTTTTCCTCCTACTTTTCCTTCAAATGGTGTCTCCAAAATGTTGCCTTCAAGGAACTTCCCTCCATCATGGACTCCTCTCTCCCTTAGTCTTCCTGATTATGGGATCGTGATCTGATTTTTCCTAAATTTACTGAAGTCCGCTTTCTTGAAGTCTAGGGTGCCTGTCTGATTCTGCTTGACTTCCACGTTCCACTGAATAACAAACTATAAGAGAATGGTCGCTCCCACTTAGGGAACCCAACTCTTCCACCCTATTGACCAGGTCATCCCTGCTGGTCAAGATCAGATTGAAAATAGATAATCCTGACCAACACAATAGATTGAGCCCACATCATCCTGACAAAAGAAGTTTTGCTCCAGGCCTTGGCAATATATATCCATCCAGTTTTCCTTTTAAATATCATTCATGGTGTTCCCCTGGTGCTCAAGCATATATGTTTCATAAAGTAATTGGGGCTTAAGCATAATATGCTTTATATTAAAAGGGACTAAGTTGAGTATAAATGAACATGTAGGGAAATCTTAAAAGTATAACATGTTGGTGGTGGTGAAACTGTTTCTATGTCCTGCTAAGAGGTGAACTCACTCAGGGAAATAGTGCAAGCAGAAAATTAGTTTATTTTATTTATTTCGGTTACTTCTACCCCGCCCTTCTCACCCAGGAGGGGACTCAGGGCGGCTTACAAAGGCACAATTCAAAGCCGGCATCAACATAACAGTAGAATAAAAACAACATAGCAGCAATTAAACAATTAACAATCAGTTTCTGCACTGCAACAATAAAACCAATAAAACCGATTTCACCTAATTAACGCTCAGCGTTTGCCATCTCATAGTCCAAATTCCAATTCCACTTTGTCAGTCCTGTCAGTCCTAGTTGTCCAATTTTCTTTATCTAGTTGTCAGATTGCCCAAAGGCCTGGTCCCACAACCACGTTTTTAAATTCCTCCTGAAGGAGAGGAGGGATGTTGATGACCTGATTTCCCCCGGGAGTGAGTTCCATAGGTATGGGGCCACCACTGAGAAGGCCCTGCTCCTCGTCCCCACCAACCTCACTTGTGATAGCGGTGGGGTCGAGAGCAGAGCCTCCCCAGATGATCTCAAACTCTGAGGTGGGACATAGAGGGAGATGCGTTCGGACAGATACGCTGGACCGGAACCATATAGGGTTTTGTAGGTCAAAACCAGCACCTTGAATTGTGCTCGGAACTGAACAGGCAGCCAGTGGAGCTGACACAACAGTGGGGTGGTGTGCTCCCTGTATGACGCTCCGGTGAGCAATCTGGCTGCCGCTCGCTGGACCAGTTGAAGTTTCCGAACAGTCTTCAAGGGCAACCCCATGTAGAGTGCGTTGCAGTAATCTATTTGGGATGTAACAAGAGCATGGACCACTGTGGCCAGATCAGGTTTCCCAAGGTACGGGCCCCAACTGGTGCACAAGTTTTAATTGTGCAAAAGCTCAAAAGACACAAAGTCTCTCCCATCTCCTGAGCATTGCATGGTTAAGTCCAATTGTTTTTGAGCAGGGACTCTTATCAGACATTCTTTCAGCCCTGAAAGTAATAAACCTCTGTTCCTGTTGCCTTCAAACCCAATCTCTGTTGATCTGGTTTAAAAGTGGCAGGCGCTCCGGTTGCTGGATCACACCGCTCCTTAAGTGGTTAGCTGAATTTTGGCATCACAAGGAAGACTATTTCTCTCTGAAACCCTCAGCTTTCTTAGGATTTCCTGTTTTTTTTTTGGGGGGGGGGGGCAGACTTGGAGGCCTTTGCTTTTAATTACTGCTTGGGGCGAATTTGACATATTAGCTTCTCCCTTTTCCTTCTGTTTCGCCCATGCTCAGAAGAGCATTTGCAAGGCAGCTTCTATGGGAGGACTGGTCAGAGTAGATGCCTGTACTTCTCCAGGTCAGGGTTTCATTACTTTCATTACTGCAAACATTCCTACAACCCTGAATGGAAACCCCATGTTTCTCTAGATCTCCTTGAGCTTCTGAAAAACGTCTCCTGGACAGAGGACAAAGGAGAAGAGGGCTGAGTGGGCCAGAGTAGAAAAAGGTGGGCAGGAAGGAGGCTTTCCCGATTATCCTGGGCCTCAACTGAAAGAGTGAACGGCACGGAGGGGACCTAGTTTAATATATTTAAATGTGGGTTTGAAGTATCCAGATTACTGGCTGAGTGGAGGATTCATTTGGGAATACCAGAAAATTTGGTATGAGAAAAGAGGGAAAGGAGGTTTTGGGCTTCATGCCTAATCTTTTGCTGCTTTTTCTTGACCAGGAACATAAGGATTCCATGGAGATATCTTTGGTGTGATGAGAAACAAACCAGCATCTAGTGGCCATTGGGGATTGTGGAAAGCAAACAAGCCGTAAGGAAAAGAGTCTTGTAGGAAAAAGCAAGATCAGCACCACAAAGTGCTGATCTTGCTGAACTAACTTTGGATGAGAAGGGTAAAAAGAAGACTGAAGTGTCGATATTGCAGTTAAACATACATATCACTGTCAACATGCAGGAGAAACCCTATACATGCCTGGAGTGTGGAAAGAGCTTCAGTAAGAGTACAAACCTACGTAGACACCAACAAATTCACACAGGGGAGAAACCCTATAAATGCCCTGAGTGTGGAAAGAGCTTCACCCATAGTGGAAGTCTACATTCACACCAAAGGATTCACACTGGTGAGAAGCCCTATACATGCCTTGAGTGCGGAATGAGCTTCAGTAGGAGTACACACCTACGTAGACACCAACACACACACATTGGGAAGAAACCCTACAAATGCCTAGAGTGTGGACTGGGTTTAACTCGGAGGGATTCTCTACAGAAACATGAAAGGACTCACACTGGGAAGAAACCCTATGAATGCCTGAAGTGTGGAAAGAGTTTCACTAGGAGCGATCACCTGCAGAAACATGAAAGGATTCACACTGATAATAAAGCCTATGAATGCCTGGAGTGTGGAAAGAGCTTCACTCAGAGGGAACATCTGCAGCAACATGAAAGGAGTCACACTGGGGAGAAACCCTATAAATGTCTGGAGTGTGGAAAGAGCTTCGCTCATAGTGGAGGCCTACGTAAACATCAAAGGACTCATACTGGGGAGAAGCCCTATAAATGCCTGGAGTGTGGAAAGAGTTCTACTCAAAAACAATGTCTGCAGCAGCATGAAAGGATTCGCACTGGTGAGTTACCCTTTAAATGTCTGGAGTGTGGAAAGAGCTTCACTAGCAGCGGAAGTTTACATTCACATCAACGTACTCACACTGGGGAGAAACCCTATAAATGCTTGGAGTGTGGAAAGAGCTTTACTCTGAGTGGAACTCTACGTTCACATCAAAGGATTCACACTGGGGAGAAACCTTATAAATGCCTGGAGTGTGGAAAGAGTTTCAGTTGGAGGCATTCTCTGCAGCTGCATGAAAGGACTCACACTGGGGAGAAACCCTATACATGTCTGGAGTGTGGAAAGAGCTTTACTCAGAGTGGAACCCTACGTTCACACCAGAGGACTCACACTCTAGTAATGTGATGCCAGAGATATGTCACGCCAGAGAAATGTCGTACCTATTGTAAGTGACTGCATAATGTTGGGGCATTTTATCATATTGTGAAAGGCCCAGAAATATTGGGCTTAAATAAATAAATTTAAAAGAATGGGAGGAACTTTGGAAGAAAATATTACAGTTTACAAGAAGTTGCTTTGTTAAAGATTTTTTTAATAAAATAATCTACAGATGTTATATAACTCTATTAAAACTCTCAAAGATAAAAAAAATTGCTGGAAATGTAACCAAATAACGAACTTTTTATCATATGTGGTGGACTTGCCCAAAGACTAAAGCCTTCTGGATCAAAATTCATACAACAATGTTTTTGTTGCAGTTCATAGACCCATCAGCAAAACCAACAATCATTATAAATTCTCCCATCTCAGGAGAAGTCCATTGTACAAAATAGATCTACATCAGTGGTTCTCAACCTTCGTAATGCCGCGACCCCTTAATACAGTGCCTCACGTTGTGGTGACCCCCAACCATAAAATTATTATTATTGCTACTTCCTAATTATAATTGTGTTACTGTTATGAATCACAATGTAAAAAATCTGAAATGCAGGATGTATTTTCATTCACTGGACCAAATTTGGCACAAATACCCAAAAACAGCACTCCATGCCGTCATGTCAGCTACATGACCTTGGAGGTGTCTGTGAACAACACCGGCTCTTTGGCCTAGAAATTGAGCACCAACTCCCAGAGTTGGACACAACTGGACTTAATGTCAGGGGAAAACTTTTACCTTACGTTATCCAATACACCCAAATTTGAATACTGGTGGGGTTGGAGGGAAAATTGATTATGTCATTTGGAAGTTGTCGTTGCTGGGATTTATAGTTCACCTACAATTAAAGAGCATTTTGAACTCCACCAATGATGGAATTGGACCAAACTTGGCACACAGAACTCCCACAACCAACGAAAAATACTGGAATGGTCTGGTGAGCACTGACCTTGAGTTTGGGAGATGTAGTTCACCTGCATCCAGAGAGCATTGCAGACTCACACAATGATGGATCTGGTCCACACTTGGCACAGATACTCAATATGCCCCAATGTGAACACTGGTGGAGTTTGTTGAAAATAGACCTTGACATTTGGGATATGCAGTTGCTGGGATTTATAGTTCACCTGCAACGAAGAGCCCTCGCTTGCTCCGCACCCCTGCCGGCCGGCGGGAGAGCGGAGCAGCCGAGGGCGCCTGGAGAAGGCCTTACTCCAAAGGCCCTCGCCTGCTCCGCCCCCCCCCCCCCCCCCCCCCGCCACCCCCCCACCCCTCCCCCTCCCCCCCCCCCCCCCCGCCGGCGGGCGGGAGAGCGGAGCAGCCGAGGGCGCCTGGAGAAGGCCTTGCTCCCAAGGCCCTCGCCTGCTCCGCCCCCCCCCCGCCGGCTGGCGGGAGAGCGGAGCAGCCGAGGGCGCCTGGAGAAGGCCTTGCTCCCAAGGCCCTCGCCTGCTCCGCCCCCCTGCCGGCTGGCGGGAGAGCGGAGCAGCCGAGGGCGCCTGGAGAAGGCCTTGCTCCCAAGGCCCTCGCCTGCTCCGCCCCCCCCCCCCCCCCCCCGGCCGGCGGGAGAGCGGAGCAGGCAAGGGCGCCTGGAGAAGGCCTTACTCCAAAGGCCCTCGCCTGCTCCGCCCCCCCCCCCCCCCCCGCCCAGGGAGAGCGGAGCAGGCAAGGGCACCTGGAGAAGGCCTTGCTCCAAAGGCCCTCGCCTGCTCCGCCCCCCCACCGGCCGGCGGGAGAGCAGAGCAGGCGAGGGGCGCCCAAGGAGCCACTCACCCATCCCTCACCTCCTTCTGCCATCAGAAGGAAGCAAGGGACAGGCAGATGGCTTCGCGTGTGGCCTAGCCGCCCGCGGAGCCGCTCGCCCGTCCCTCGCCTCCTTCTGCCATCAGAAGGAGATGAGGGACAGGCAGATGGCTTCGCGCGGGGGAATGCCAGTGGCGCAGGGGGTCGGCCGCCATTTTGGAGGGGGCGTGGCCAGCCAATGCGGCTTCGCGACCCCCAGAAAATGGCCAAACGACCCCCTGAGGGGTCGCGACCCCCAGGTTGAGAACCGCTGTTCTACATGGTTCCAAGTAATACCCCTTTCAGAGGTTAGTTGCTTTCTCAGCCTTGTTGCCACTGCGAGGAATTTTCCCACTATGAGAATCGCCCTGTGGCCCTTGTCCTCTAAAAGATATCAAACAATTCCCTGCATATGGGGATGGCTGGTCATGCGGGACAGGAGTGGATAGAACAGTTGGCGACGTTGCATTGCGTAGTAGCGGCACTGCAGTAAAATGTGTCCTATTGTTTCTATTTCATTTCCTCCACAGGGACATAGTCTTTGGAAGCAAGGAATTCCAGACAGTCTGCCTCTTAGCAACTCTGAGGGAAATACCTTTAATCTCGCCTTTGTAAAAAGATTACGATATTTAATCACTGTTAGACTTTTTAGGTAATCGCAAGAATCCTAGAATCAAAGAGTTGGAAGAGACCTCATAGGTCATCCAGTCCAACCTCATTCTGCCAAGAAGCAGGAATATTGCATTCAAATCACCCCTGATAGATGGCCATCCAGCCTCTGTTTAAAAGCTTCCAAAGAAGGAGCCTCCACCACACTCCGGGGCAGAGAGTTCCACTGCTGAACGGCTCTCACAGTCAGGAAGTTCTTTCTCGTGTTCAGATGGAATCTCCTCTCTTGTAGTTTGAAGCCATTGTTCCTTGTCCTAGTCTCCAGGGAAGCAGAAAACAAGCTTGTTCCCTCCTCCCTGTGGCTTCCTCTCACATATTTATACATGGCTATGATATCTCCTCTCAGCCTTCTCTTCTTCAGGCTAAACATGCCCAGCTCCTTAAGCCACTCTTCATAGGGCTTGTTCTCCAGATCCTTGATCATTTTAGTCGCCCTCCTCTGGACACATTCCAGCTTGTCAACATCTCCCTTCAATTGTGGTGCCCAGAATTGGACACAATGTGATTCCAGGTGCGGTCTAACCATGGCAGAATAGAGCATGGGTGACATAAATTCCCTGGACCTAGATACTAGGCTTCTATTCATTTTGTTAGTTTTGGCCCATCATCTCTCTAATCTGTCGAGATCGTTTTGAATCCTGCTCCTGTCCTCTGGAGTGTTGGCTATCCCTCCCAATTGGTGTCGTCTGCAAACTTGATGATCCTGCCTTCTAACCCTTCATCTAAGTCATTAATGAAGATGTTGAACAGGACTGGGCCCAGGACGGAACCCTGTGGCACTCCACTTGTCGCTTCTTTCCAAGATGAAGAGGAAGCATTGGGGAGAATCACCCTCTGGGTTCATCCATTTAACCAATTACAGATCCACCTCACCGTAGTTTTACCCAGCCCACATTGGACTAGTTTGTTTGCCAGCAGGTCGTGGGGGACCTTGTCAAAGAAGGCCTTCCTGACATCCAGACATGCTCCATCCACGGCATCATTCCCCGCATCTACTCAGCTTGTAACTCTATCGAAAAAAGAAATCCGATGAGTCTGGCATGACTTGTTTTTGATAAATCCATGTTGACTCTTAGCGATGACCACATTTGTTTCTAAGTGTTTGCAGACCACTTCCTTGACAGTCTTTTCTAGAATCTTGCCTGGTATCGACGTGAGGCTGACTGGACATTAGTCATTGTTTGGGTCATCCTTTTTTCCCTTCTTGAAGATTGGGCCACATTGGCCCTCCTCCAATCTGCTGGAACTTCTCCCGTTCTCCAAGAACTCTCAAAGATGGTTGCCAATGGTTCCGAAATGACTTCCGCTAGTTCCTTCAATACTCTGGGGTGTAGTTGATCTGGCCCTGAAAGGGGACTTGAACTCATTTAGAGCGGCCAGGTATTCCTGGACTACTTTGGGGTTGGATGTCCTCTAATCCCTCATCCACTCCATCTTGCTGAGGTTGCAGATGACTTTCTTTTTATGAGAAGAACATGGCAAGACTTAAATGGCTCCCTGTATGGTAAATTTAAAACTCTGGGGGAGCATGGGGAGTTTTGAGTGGACTCTAAGCTCTTCCGGGGCAATATCCCTCAGCCTTTGCTTCAGGGACTTCTGCGTCATTTTGAATTCCAAATGGAGCAGAAGAGGTGCAGATAGTCCAGTTGAGGCTGCTTTTCGTTCATTCCTCCATGCCCAAAGGGGTTTGGAGGCTTCATGAGGGAAGTGATGCAGTAAACCTGTTCCCAGTTCAAAAGCCATTGTTTTTAACCACAGATTCATTTTCAGAGTCCAGGCCCTAGTGCTCAGTGGGCATTCACCCGTTCCTAGGAGCAGGACCGCATTTGGTACACAAGGAGGCACGTTTAGAAGATCTCTTATCAACCTTGCTTGCACTCTATCTAGGACAACAGTTGGGTTTTCACACCATATATCTGCATCAACGAGGGGTTTAGAGGCTGTTTTGGCATTAAGATTTTTAGTGTAGACGGGGACATATTGTCCTGCTTTGGTGTAATAGAACCTTCTTAAGGCTGCTTGGCAGGCCTTTGTCTTTGAATCACTATTTCAGAGTGCTCTCTCCAGGATAAGGTGTGGTGTAAGTTAAGTCCCACATACTGGAAGCTTCTAACTGCTCTGAGTCCCCTTTGGGGTGAGAAGGGCATCATATATATGCCATAAATAAATAAATAGATTTGTCTGTGACCCATTTATGATTTGTAATTTTTCTTTCAAAAATCAGAACTTTTGATTTGCTGAAATGTATATTTAGCTCATTTGTTTCACAATATTCTGTAAAGTTCCTAAGTTGGTGTATGAGCCCTGGTCCAGACCTGGAGAGGACGGCAGTATCATCTGCATACAGCAAGATGGGGATGCTCCTTTTACCCAATCTGGGTAGGTGACTTTGTGGGTCCATCATGACTTCCTCAAGATCATTCAGGAATAAGTTAAACAGAGTAGGAGCTGAGATACAGCCCTGCCTTACCCCTCTGGTCATTTGAATTGGCCCTGACATTTGGCCATGGGGCCCACATCTGACCTGTAATCTACCATCTCTGTAAAGTCCTTTAATGAGAAAGAGCAGTCTTCTATCAGTTAGGTACTTCTCTAATTTGTCCCATAGTTTGGGCCTGGAGATTGAATCAAACACAGCCTTAAAATCCACAAAAAGTTTACCTTTCTGGGTTTTATAATCTTTCTCTGCTAGATGAGAGAGAGCTAAGCTATGGTCCATTGTGGATGAGCTTTTCCT